AGAAAAAGTCCAGCATTATAAAAATGCCCCCTCAAATTCTGACTGTTCATCTATTATAATTGAACATTAAAAATTGAATACAAATATTATTTGAAAATACTCAAAGAGAAGCAATAGTCTATATCTCAAAAAAAACCCCCCAAAAACCAAAAAACACCTATGGTTTGGATTACCCATAAGAATATAAAAATTAAGTAATTTGCTTCATCCAAAACTTACAAAATATGGTGTTCATGAGTTTCTGAACTTTGGAGTTCACTCCTCCTATTCGATAGAGGCCTAAAATGGTGATACCTAATGGAGAGGAAAATCACAACAAAATAGCTTGAGATACAGCTTTCCAAGTACAGAATGTTAAAAACACAGACATATGCCTACATGGAACTGGAAAGCTACTTACGCAGTTTTTCAGTCTAGCTTTAGCAAACCTATCCTGGAAATACCCATCAGACATATATTTCTCAAAGCAGACACTGAACAGTGATTTGAAAGTCTTTGAAAATCTTCAAAGTAGCAAAGTACTCCTTCCTATTCACCATTATTTGAATATAAAAAAGCATCAAAGATGGGAGGAGATGATCAGTATCCTCATCTCTATTTCTTCAGAGTCATGGAGTCCTGCATGTTGAACAGTCCTATAGTGTTCGTATCTTCATTTTAACGGCAAAGAAACAGATTCAAAGAATTCAAGAAATCTACATCACTCCTCAAAACTTCTAAGTGGCAGCACCAAAGTTTGAATCTAAGTTTATAGAACTCTAAAACCCAATATAAGTTTTGTTTCAGACAAGTTTTCCTGGAAGTCGAAGAGTCTAATATCTACCCAGAGTGAATTTCAAGACAGAGGTCACAATTAGAGTGAGAGGTGCCAAAATTGTGGCAGTGACTGAAATCACTGAAGGAAAGAATATAGGGAAGGAAGGGAAGCTCTTTAGGTATCTTACTTCCCCAGTGCTTGAAAAAAATTAAAGTGCTTACAACAATAAATAATACACAGTCCATCAGTAAGAAGTAAAGTAAGGCTGTATCAGAAAAAATTATGAAGAAAAGAAGTATGTCTGTAGTATGAATTTTGGTTAATTGAAGTTCAAAGTACAGCTATTTGTATATTTATATAATATACATTTACATGATTCTTAAAATTAATCTCATGTTAATGACTAAACACTTCTTCATTTTCTACCCTAAGAGGTTTCTATGTATGTGACAGTAATGATGTACGTGTTAGGCAACGCTTACTTACCTCTCGTTTCCACAGCTTGAATGCATTTTCTCACAAAGTTGAACCCTGCTTCATTTAAGTACACTAAAAGTAAGAGAAAAATCACATTAAGTATTTATGTTGAACTGACACTCTCCCTTCAGATGGCTGCGTTCACCATGCCTTCATGACTTAGCACTGTGGTTACTAATGAACATCAAATATTTTGGTTAGAGGCTGCCTTTTTATTTTAGGGTAGAAGTAGAGAAGAAAGGTTCACTCTCAGTTAATTAATTAATACAAATATTAATTTAAAATATTATTTAAAAATACTCAAAGACAAGCTATACACTGTATCGCAAAAGAACTGACAGCTTGGATTACCTACAAGAATACAAAACTTAACTAACTTCCTTCATCCAAAACTTATAAAATGTGGTGTTCATGAGTTCACCATTAAGAAGTACAGACCCTTCATAGAACATATATTATAGTGATCACATCCATTCTTCCTAAAACTAACATTATCCATCACTACATTTTTTTCCAGATGATAGATATAAGTGCAATAAGAATAAACCTGTACTGTGTGCTGAAAATTATATTACAAAGCCTATTCACATATTCTTTTCCATGGAATTCTCAAAACAGAATTATGAGGTAGAGAGAAAGCTCTGCAATCTTAAGATGTCTCAGTGGGTTGCTGAACACTTTTCTCTGCTCTTAGCTCTAGAGTCAGGATTCTAACTCAGGTCTCCTGATTCCAAGCCCAGTCCGCTTTCTATTGCATTTTGCTACTGGATTCAAAATAACTCAAAACAGGCTTAGTCAGGCCACTAAAATCTCCCAAAGATCCTAGATTATAAAACAGGAATTCAGTTTCATTGCTTTTTTTTTTTTTTGGCCAGATTTTTCTTTAAATCTGTTCTAATTTTTTAAAAAGATTTTGGGAACACATCAAATTAGATTACTTATTTAAAGAAGAAAGCACTTAATTTAAGAACACCAAGTAACACCCAGAGGAAAAAAACAAATTTTCTTGAACTGTGATGCAAATTTTCATCACGTGTGGTAAGGATAAATATGTAATATATATACATATATATATATATATATTTTTGCACCTGGCTGGTATGGGGATCTGAACCCTTGGACTTGGTGTTACAAATATGTTTTTTAAAAAAATATTATCAAGTAATAATAAGTTAAGATAATTCAAACTAATGGAAATTTAAAACTAGTGTCCATTTTAAGATGGTGAATTAAATACATTCATGTAGCTCAACACAGATCTACAGAGAAAAAAAAACACATCCAAAAAGTTATAACAAAAATCAAGAAAGGGTATCAGCAATAGACTAAAAACTTTGTAGAAATTCTAGACATAGAAAACCAGTGTAACTGAATTGGCTGACATAAAAGTTTGAGAAATCTGTGCCCCCAAACTACAGATACTGACATGGAAGGATACGCATTATGTGTTGTTAAGTGAAAAAAGTAATCTACAAGACTATATGACCTATTTTCTTAAAATGTAAAAATTCAAGTGTAAAAATGTTTCTATTTTCCTGGGGAAAAACTCCATAAAGATCTATGCAAACTGTTGGTAAGAAGGAAGAGGGCAGAAAGTAGAAATTGTCATTTTTATTCACTAGACTTCAGAATTATTTGATATTTAAAAATATACATACTTAGTAATTTAGAAATAATTTCAGTACTCTAGAAATAAAAATGCCAAACTAAAATATACACTGCCATCGACAGTGATCGGCTCATTCGATTCTTTGTCCCCAGTGCCCTAGGTCAGGAGAACAGAACTCAGTGAGTGCTTTGAGTGAACTCTACATACAGGAATTGAGGGAGCCTTTTATTATAGTGCAGCTGATGACCTGCATGAAAGTGGAGCTTCTTTTAGACACCAAAAAGGGATTGTTTACTTCCAATAACCCAAAATGCCAAGCATAACATTACAAACACAGATATTTTAAAATAGTTATTTAATATAGGAAACAGATGAGATGGAAAGGTGAGGAATCACTTACTNTTTTTTTTTTTTTTGGCCAGATTTTTCTTTAAATCTGTTCTAATTTTTTAAAAAGATTTTGGGAACACATCAAATTAGATTACTTATTTAAAGAAGAAAGCACTTAATTTAAGAACACCAAGTAACACCCAGAGGAAAAAAACAAATTTTCTTGAACTGTGATGCAAATTTTCATCACGTGTGGTAAGGATAAATATGTAATATATATACATATATATATATATATATTTTTGCACCTGGCTGGTATGGGGATCTGAACCCTTGGACTTGGTGTTACAAATATGTTTTTTAAAAAAATATTATCAAGTAATAATAAGTTAAGATAATTCAAACTAATGGAAATTTAAAACTAGTGTCCATTTTAAGATGGTGAATTAAATACATTCATGTAGCTCAACACAGATCTACAGAGAAAAAAAAACACATCCAAAAAGTTATAACAAAAATCAAGAAAGGGTATCAGCAATAGACTAAAAACTTTGTAGAAATTCTAGACATAGAAAACCAGTGTAACTGAATTGGCTGACATAAAAGTTTGAGAAATCTGTGCCCCCAAACTACAGATACTGACATGGAAGGATACGCATTATGTGTTGTTAAGTGAAAAAAGTAATCTACAAGACTATATGACCTATTTTCTTAAAATGTAAAAATTCAAGTGTAAAAATGTTTCTATTTTCCTGGGGAAAAACTTCATAAAGATCTATGCAAACTGTTGGTAAGAAGGAAGAGGGCAGAAAGTAGAAATTGTCATTTTTATTCACTAGACTTCAGAATTATTTGATATTTAAAAATATACATACTTAGTAATTTAGAAATAATTTCATCATAAAGATCTATGCAAACTGTTGGTAAGAAGGAAGAGGGCAGAAAGTAGAAATTGTCATTTTTATTCAGTAGACTTCAGAATTATTTGATATTTAAAAATATACATACTTAGTAATTTAGAAATAATTTCAGTACTCTAGAAATAAAAATGCCAAACTAAAATATACACTGCCATCGACAGTGATCGGCTCATTCGATTCTTTGTCCCCAGTGCCCTAGGTCAGGAGAACAGAACTCAGTGAGTGCTTTGAGTGAACTCTACATACAGGAATTGAGGGAGCCTTTTATTATAGTGCAGCTGATGACCTGCATGAAAGTGGAGCTTCTTTTAGACACCAAAAAGGGATTGTTTACTTCCAATAACCCAAAATGCCAAGCATAACATTACAAACACAGATATTTTAAAATAGTTATTTAATATAGGAAACAGATGAGATGGAAAGGTGAGGAATCACTTACTAATTTACATTTTTAACAGCAACAAAAACAGACAAAAAAATGAAACACTAGGTAAAAACAAGACACTAGCATTTTTATATCAATTAAAACTGCAAGTTTCTGACATTTAAAATGTTTGGCACTTGAGGTCATATTGTTCAGCTTCTCAATAAAAAAGATTAAGAGAAAGAGAAAACCATTTTTAAAAAATTTCAATAAAATCTGCCCTTGGGCAAAATGAATAAAGATAGTTGCAATATATAAAAACAATTTCAAAAATAATATAGTATGCTTCTTTGGAAAACAACACTCCTGGCTGACAATCCATCAAGCCCCAGTGATTTGAGCCATGACTGAACAATGTCTTCCTCATGAGATTTACATATGTAGATATTAACATTCATCTCTGGTTAACAATGATGACGATAATAGCCAACACTCTATGAACGTAATAAGCTTATTTGAAAAACAACAAAAAGTATGAATGTTAGTGCTATATGTCATTCATTTTGAGAAAAATAAGCAATAACCTGGCTATATCTCAAAGGTATACTGGGATATTTAGCAGCAATACTCCAATCAATTCTAATAAACCGATACCACTGGCTCATTATGGAGGGTAAAGTCTTATAGACAGTCATTCTGACTGCCAGGTCATTCTGTGGGTGCTATTATCCTCATGTGTTCCATGGATCCTGCACCCATCTCTCTCCACATGAATAAATGCAACATTATCAATCAGTTCAAAGATGTGGAAGAATACACTGTGTTGGCAAAAGTAACCAAGCATTTTTTTATTCCCTTTGACTATCCTTTGCTTTGCCTGGAAAAGTAGAGTTCCATGGTGCAGAGATAGTGCCCTGCTTTATTTACAGCCAAGAAAACCTGGGGTGGGTCCCAGTTCTACCTAGTATTATTGCTGTATGAATGGAAGCATGCCTATTAACTTTTATGAATTCATTCCTTCATTTACAAAATGAAGGAAGTAACAATACATATGTTAATGAATTGTAGTAAGACAAAAACCACAGGAAGCACTCAAAAGCCTAACAATGAAGCAGCCTAATTAAATGTGAGTTTCCTTCTCCCGGTGCTGTTGTCCGCACATCACTGCTGTATGAAGGAAAATTGAAGAAGCAATGATGAAAGAAGCCAGTCATTAGTTCTCACCAGATGAAACAGACAGTAGTTACTCTCCCACTTACTAGCTGTGTTAATGGGCATGGTTTCAATCTCTCTGTGCCTCAGTTTCCTCTTCTATTAAATAAGGATAATAGTA